AGAGCGTCTCCAGCAGGTCGAGGGAGGTGATCCTGCCCCTCTACTCAGCCCTGCTGAGGCCGCATCTGGAGTATTGTGTTCGGTTCTGGGCTCCACAGTACGAGAGGGATGTGGAGCTGCTGGAGAGAGTCCAGCGCAGGGCTACAGGGATGATCAGGGACCTGGAACATCTGCCCTACGAGGAGAGGCTGAAGGAGCTGGGCCTGTTCAGCCTGGAGAAGAGAAGGCTGAGAGGGGATCTCATCAGTGTATATAAGTACCTGAAGGGAGGGAGTGCAGAGGATGTTGCTGGTCTCTTTTCAGTGGTGGCCACCAACAGAACTAGAGGTAATGGCCACAAACTGAAACACCAAAAGTTCCACAGGAACTTAAAGAAAAAAATTTTTAACAATGAGGGTGACAGAGCACTGGAACAGGCTGCCCAGAGAGGTTGTGGAGTCTCCTTCTCTGGAGATCTTCAAGACCTGCTTGGATGCCACCCTGTGCCACGTGCGTGTGCAGGGGAGTTGGACTACCTGATTTCTAGAGGTCCCTTCCAACCTTAAGGATTCTATGATATCAGATTTCACGGTATGCCTCATTCTTCCTTTCTGCTTCTTCCCTCCGATCTGGATTTGTTTAGCTCTGAGGGGAGAGAACCTGAGACCTCACAGTAAAACAGGGGAAGATTACAGCTAGACTTTGAAAATGCTCAGCTCCTGTGTCAGACAACTGATAGTTACTGATTATTCACTCCCTGGAATCCTGTTATCTTCCCAGACAGGGCCAACATATGCCTCAGACCAGATGCAATCATGTATCCCAAATTCCTGAGCTATCCTGGTCTGGGTCCTAGATCACTGCCAATTTTAGCTCAGTCTTTTTTTCCCCCAAGATGGAACTCTTCCAGCCACCAGCTCTAACCAGGTCCTAACCCCACCACTTGATTCATCTTTTTCTTTCAGTATCAAATACCCACAACTTAAGCACTTTCTATACTTGTATAATAAAGATTCTCCAGCGTATTTTGTGTGATCAAAGCCAAATGCCATGGAAGGTTCAGGTCTGCACCTGTGAGAATATTCAAACTGTTTTACCCTTGTCCCAAATGATTCCTAGATACAGGTCACAGGCTGGGGCCTAGTTTTGATTAACAAAGCTTTAAAAATCATGCCGAGTTCAATTCTAACACCAGTAAGGATGGGTTGTGGTGCTCAGTGGTGCTTTCTGGCATTCACAAAATCACAGTAGTAGTAGTGTCCCCCAGGGGTCAGTATGGGGCCCAGTGCTGTTCAACTTGTTCTTCTATGGCTTGGAAGAGGGGAAAAGTGCACCCTCGGCACATTTGCAGATGATACCAAACCAGGTAGAGTGGCCAACACTCCAGAGGACTGGGATGACTTTCAGAGGGATATGGACAGGTTGGAGAGTTGGGCAGAGAGAAACCTCATGAGGTTCAGCAAGGACAAGGGCAAGCTCCTGCACCTGGGCAGGAATAACCCCAGGCACCACTACACATTAGGGGTTGACCTGCTGGAAAGCAGCTCCACAGAGAGGGATTTGGGGGTCCTGGTTGACAACAAGTTACCCATGAGTCAGCAATGTGCCCTTGTGGCCAAGAAGGCCAATGGGATCCTGGCCTGCCTCAGGACGACTGCTGCCAGTAGGTCTAGGGGGGTGGTCTTCCCCATCTACTCAGCTCTGGTGAGGCCGCACCCAGAGTATTGGGTGCAGTTCTGGGATCTCAACAATAAGAGGGATGTGGAGCTTCTAGGGAGGGTCCAGCGTAGAGCCACAAAGATGATTAAGGGACTGGAGCATCTATCAGATGAGGAAAGACTAAGCGAGCTAGGGCTGTTTAGGCTAGAGACGACTGAGAGAGGATCTTATCAATATGTACATATACCTGACGGAAGAATGTAAAGAGGATGGGGCCAAACTCTTCTCAGTGCTGGTCCGTGACAGGACAAGGGGTAATGGGTACAAATTAAAACACAGTAAGTTCCATCTCCATATGAGGAAGGACTTCTTTGCTGTCAGGGTGACAAAGAACTGGAACAGGCTGCCCAGAGAGGCTGTGGAGCCTCCTTCTCTGGAGATGCTACAAACCCACCCAGCTGCGACCCTGTGCCGCCTGCTCTAGGTGTCTCTGCTTGAGCAAGGGGGTTGGACTAGATGATCTCTAGAGGTCCCTTCCAACCTCAACCATTCTGTGATTCTGTAGGAATGCCACATTGCAGTGATGGCAGAGTGCAGCCAGGCCCTTGTCTATTTTCTCCATAAATATGAAATTGTAGTTCTACCAGTGCTGCATAGGAAGAAACAATCAGGCACCACAGTTAATTACTCTTGTTTGCTGAAGCAGCCCTTAGTCATGATTTACTGTCCAAGTCAGGAAAAAAACACCACCAAGACAGAAGACAAAATGACCATGGACTTGAGAGAGGAAAAAAAAAAAAACTTTTCCAAATACCGTCAGTTAGGTAAAAAAACCTGCTCCTGAGCTTGACACAAGTAACTTTCTGTACTTGGACTTACTTGCTAAATAGCAGCACACAAAGTCTCACAAAAAGTAGTCATTGGACCTCTGTTAAAGCGACTGAAGGTTGCAGGAAGACAAGAAAGTTAAGCGAAAAGCGATTGTTGTAGGCCTCTGCAGGGCTGTACGTGAAGGCAAGAGTAGCCACCTATGTGTGTGTGTGTATATATATGTGTATATATATAAATAAACTATGGAGAAAACTTTGGGGACTCAGTATTCAAACAAAAACATGTTTATTTACAGACAAAGGAGAAAACATAGTTATCATATCAAATTCTGATATATTTACACAATCCAGAGAGTGGACAGGCAAGGGAATGTGGTGAGGAGGGTTGGGGTTAAGGAAGAAGGTTTTTCTGTTGAATCACTGACAAGCTGGAAGGAGCCAAAATGCCAGACTTCTCTGCAAGATGAGCCTTTAAGGAACCAGAACACTACCAGGCTAAACTCCAATGCACAGCAATGTGTAGAGATGTAGCTCCTGGGAAGCTCTTCCTAACAGAACAGCAGAGGTGCTGTTGCAGCAGGGCGGGTGCAGATGCAGCAGAGGGGAGTCTGGTCGCCACTGCTCACAGAGAAAGGGAAAGACGGGAGGTGACTTTTTTTTTTCCTGTTAATGAGTGCTGAAGGGGGTAGGGAGAGACTTAGCTGGCCTGTCCAAGCAGGGGACAGAGAGGGCAGTCAGCTGAGCTGGAAAGCAGCATGGTTCATAGCACTGAAATATTGCGTCGCAGAACCAGAAAAGGTCTAGTTCCAGTCCACAAGAAAGGGATATAAGAGACCAGCCTGGTCATGAGCTCTAGTCCTGTATCCCAGGTTCAAACCTCTGAAAGGGGCTACCTGCAACTTATGCCTATTTTTTTTTTAGTGAGCCTTTCAGCTTCTTCTCTGAGGAGCGCTGTTTCTTCACCTTCTCTTCCTTCTTCCCCAAGTTCTCATAAACTGTTGACTCCTCTTTCTGCCTGTAAGACCAAGTAAGAAAGTGAAGAGGAAGAAGATGCTTGCTGAGCCCACAGGCAGACCACAACAGAAAGTCTGCTTGCGGGCAGTTCTTACTTAGAGGATTTTCGCATGGCCTTGGCGTGTGTGTTCCTCACAGCAGGCGGGTAGGCGATGTTGCCATACTCAGACTCGTTTGGCTTCCCTTTCTGAGACTGCAGGAGAGAAAAGTCAAGCTGAGGAGAGTGAGGTCTAGGAGGAGCAGGAAAGATATCATGGAAGAGCTACAGCTCTTACCAGTGCATCATTCTGGATGTGGGTGGGCTGCTGAAGCCTCTTGGTGCACTCCACCCACTGCTGTCACAGAGGGAAGCTAGTGCCACCTGGATGGTGGGGCTACTCATTTCTGGAGGCACTGGCACACCTGATAGTGCTTTGTGTCAGCTAAAGAATATTAAACAGCAGCTGGCGGATGCTGCCAGAGGCTACAGCGAGAGCTAAAACATGCCACTTAATGGTCATGAGGAGATAAGATTTCCTACACTTTCCACAAGGGTTTGGGAAGCAGCTACAAAACCAGGGTGGGAAAGACAAACAGGGAAGAAGAGGGCAAAGTCTATGCCTGTCTTCGATTCTGCTTCTAACTAACCAGTAGTTAGTGGAGAAGTTACACAGAACATGGTTGAAATAACTGCATTAAAACCTATTGCTCTGTTTCTTGGCTCAGAAGGGGTTGGAGCTACCAACATTTCCCACTGAACTTTAAATGATGGGAATGGGATTCATATCTCAGTGTGCCACTACAGTCTCTGCAGGTCCCAATGATCGCTTGAGGCTTAGGAAATAGAGCACCTGGGCTCATGGCCAGTACCATGCAGAGCAAAGATGCACAGGGTGGAAATGTAGAGTCTGTTTTCTCACCTGGATGACTTCCAGCTTTTTCTTGGTGGTTTCTATGAACTGGCAAATGGCCATGTAGATGAACTTGTATTGGGCCTCTGTCTGCACCATCCCGGAGCGCTGGGCCCTCACCATCTGGATGGTCTTCTGGATATCAATGTCACAGTCCAGTCCTAGCAAGGGCACCAAAAATGCTTACAGACATCTTCCATTGTCCCACTCTCTATCAAAAGCAAGCACAGAGGAGCGCAGCTGGGAGCTTTCTGCCACCCTTCATGCTCTTTATAGGAGTTCTCTCATCCCTCCTTCCTGCTCAGCAACTTTCAAATCTGGCGCTGGCTGAAGAACCCAACCTCAGACAAGGCTAAGGCTACAGTGGATGAGAGCTGGATGTAGCTCATATATCCAGCAGGGCAGGATCTCTCCCACTGATATTCGATGTGGGACTTAAGAGCACAACCCTCCTGGGTAGGTCAGAACATTTTAGGCCACTGCAGAGTCCTCTTACCCTTGGTGGAGATTGTTTCCACTATCATATCGATGACGATGATAGTCCCAGTGCGGCCAATCCCAGCACTGCAAGGAAAGGACAAGCCATGGTCAGAGTTGCCTACACTATGGTATCTACACTCATGCAGCTAGGCATGAATCAGGGCCCTGAAGCAAAATGCAGCTGCTTCTGGGAAGGAGGCAGCACTTATAACAGTAATTTAGCAATGCCACACAAGAGTCAGGGAAGCAACAGGCATCATTCATTTGGGGGTTGTCAAGGAGGCAAAAGGAAGTACCAGGGCTGGTGCATTCTTCACTCACAAGTCCTGGGGAAAGACTCATGCAACACGACAGAGACCTTCCCTGCCCCCCCAGATAGGAGGGATGGAGAAGGCTTCAATCCCAGCCTTTGTACCCACCTGCAGTGTACCAGAATGGGCCCGGCACAGGGGATGCTCTCCTGCTTCTGGTTGATTTGATCAAGGAAGCTCAGCACTCCTCCCGGCTCACTGGGGACACCATGGTCAGGCCAACTCAGGTACTGGTAGTGCCAGATCTGACGCATAGACTCACCCTGACAATAGCAGAACATCTCACTGGCAAAGCTGCAGGCAGTTCCGCCCTGGCCAGGCCAGGCCTCACCTCTGTCCTAGGAGAGGTGGATCTGAAGCCAAAGAGGGTCTCTGGATCCTGTTCACTCCTTGGCCCTTCTGCCAACTGACCAACCCAAACCAGGTGAACAGTGACCACAGGAGTGATACGGCAGCAGGAGCACGACAGCACTCAGCAATGCCCAGCCTTACACATACAGCCACCATTAGGCCCGTAGGTACCGTGACAAGCCCTGACTTGGGAAACTCACGTCATTTTTTGGCCACACACAGAGCTGCCGCAGTTTGTACTCCAACGCATCATGCTCCCCAGCATTCTGCACAAGGTAGGGACCATACTCCTTTGTGTTGCCCACCTCTGGCCAGTAGGGCACACATTTGTTCTGTGTGGACAAAGGAGAGAGGCAGAGTAAGGATGGACAGAAGAGGGGAAAGAGAGAAAGAGGAGAGGAAGAAAGAGGTTGAAGGATATAAGAGGGCAGGCTGAAGACTCCTGCTACTCACCCGTCCTTTTTCTACTTCCCGTGTGGTCATCACAATAATGCGTGTATTTTCCTGCCACACCATCTGCCAGAAGTCATTAACTGTGGCATCCAGGCAACCCTGGCTGGCAATGTAGGTCTTAGTGCACTCATCAGGGCTGATAAGGTTGTTCTGTGGGTGGATGGAGAAGATCAGGAGGGCTGCATGGAGCAGGCAACCCCCTTCCTGTAATTCAGATATTCAGCCATCTTTCCAGAGTCTCACCTTGACATAGTTGGCATTGATATAGTCAGATCCAGGGATATTTGGATCTCTTCCTTGGAGGATGACTCTGGAGTGATCAACTGGAGTTGCAGTGAAAAATAGCATCAGAACAATGAGATATTCTGTGCTCAGCTCTGTGGAGCTCCTTCTCTGCCCTATACCACCTCATTCATGTTACGCAGTGTATGCATCCTGCCATATATTTTCATCTCTCCTCCTCTGGGGGTCAGTCCAATCTCAGGCATCTCTCTCTCCCTCTATGCATAGTATGAGCAAATAAATCTGATGCATTCTTCCCTCCCTCCCTTGAGGGCCTGGAAAGGCTGTGACTTCCCTAATCAGCTCCTAAACCCCCAATGCTGCACACTTTGTGTCCTGTCCCCACTCCGCAGCATAGGGCAGGCTGAGGTAGGATCAGAGGTAACTTATGCAGTTCTTCATTGCATCTCTATCTCTAGTTGCCTCGAGGTTTTTTGTTTGTTTTTCTTTTTTTTAACAGTGGAGAAACAAGACTCACAGGGCAAGATATTCTTGTACCGGTTCTTGCTCTTGTTCTCAGGTCTCTGACCCTCATGACGGTCGTACAGGTGCTTGGCTTCCTGTTTTTGCAAGCTCTGGGAGCAGAACAGAGAATAATTATGACGAGGCCACAATTTGTTACAGGGGAGATGGGGACCTAGAGGAACAGTGGCAACTCTGAGGATACATGGACTTACTTCTAGGGGAGAAGAGAATTGAAGAGTAAATCTGGATTAGAAAAGTGCAAGGTTCATGGCCTGACCCCTGGTGACTGTCTCGCCCACCCACATTTCTACCCCAGTGGGTTCACTTAAAGGTTATGCTAGCACCCTACAGGAACAGGATCCAAACATTTTCTTTCAGAGATAGATTGACGAGAATTGACAAGACCGCCTGAGCAGTTTGCATCCAGGAACAAATTGCAGATGGAGAAGAAATGGTGAGCAGGAACTTCCCAAAAAGCCACATGACCACGCTCTGCCACAGTTGCTTACATCAAATTCCTCCCAGAATCCAGCTTTGGACGATTCCTCAGCCAGACTCTTCTTGTTCAGCTCCTGCACTCTGTTCTCAATGTCAGCAGCATTCACCCTAGTAGCGTAGTAGGGCTGGGAAAAGACAATGGGTTGGCATGAGTGAGGGATGCTGCTGAAAAACCAATTCTCCTCTGTGTGCTCTGCAGGAAAGGAGGAGAGGGACAGAAAACAGAAACAAACAGCAAGGGGATCCTTTTGAAGGATCTCTGAGATGAGGAAACAAGATTTACCTGCTTCAGGTACACAAAGGAGCCAGAAACTTCCTCGATCCCAGTCTTCTTGAAGTGCTCCACCAGTTCCGCCAAACTGTCAAACACTTCAGCACCTCCAACTGTGTAGCGGCCATTCTAAATAGAGCAATAATGTATTACATCCCCTAACATTCCTACAGTCAAATCTGACCTTGCTTAGGGAAAAGTAAACTGGAGTGCAAAGCCCCAGCACCTCTCTGCCATCTGGAAGAGCATTTTCTCTGTCAAGGAGGTCAAACAGTTGATTGCCCTGAGAACATTAAGTTCATAAAATGGTGAACTGATTCCTCTTTTCCTCAGTGCACAGAAACCCAGAGACAACTTTTTGCCCTCAGCTCTCATTTAAACTCAATTGCTTTATGTCCCTGAAATTCTCATCCACTCTCTGCATTATTCCACAGGAAAGAGATAGGATAACTGATGACAGATGGGTTGGTAACATCTTCCAGACTAGGTCTGGAGATCTTGCATGTGTCTCTCTTCCTTCGAAAGTTTTTAACTTCTTCATCTCTTTCACAAGCTCATCACTAGACTACGAATCCTTCTCTCTCCTTCACAGATTCCTTGTGCTGGAGTTCTCAGACACACCTATCCTTGTTTCCTCCTGTGTTTAAGCACCCAGCATTGCCCAAGGTCACCGTATCCTATGCAAGGACTTAAGGAACTCGCAGGGCGACGACCCTACTTCAATTGGACAGACACTCTTGGCAGTAATCAAGCTGACCATGCCCACACTTTTGGGGACATGGTCAGCAGAGGTAGGCAGAGGCCTCTTCCACTCACTTTCCTTTTGGTCTTCTACCACTCTCACCTCACACATGATCTTGATGTGGGTGACTTTGAGCCGAGGCCCAGAGCCACTGGTTGCCCCAGCTGGTGCAGCATCCGACCCAGGTTTAGGCTGGTCAGTCAGAACAGACAGGACAAAATCCCCAGGTTTGCTGAGACTCTCCCGCACCAAGAAGGTCCAAGGGGTGGCCTTGGCCTGGAGCAGCGATTCAGCTGCAGAGCCAGACAGATGTCCATGATACCACCTACAAAAAAACAAGAGGAGGTCAGAAGAGAGGTGGAGATGCAAATAAGTGGATGCCCTTGAGCTGAGGAGAGGCAGCAACATTTGAGGAAGAGAAGGAAAAAGAGAGAGTGATAGAGAGACCCACAGAGAGAGAAAGAAAAGAAAAGCAAGTGAAGAGCAGGATCTTCGGAAAGGCAGGAGAGAAAGAAGCGGACTGTGACAGCAGGAAAAAGAAAAGGCAGGGGATGAGATGAAGCTGGAACGGACTGACACACCAAAGGGCTGTGCTGTCATTCAGAGTGTCTGTGACAGGGTGGAGAGGTGGGCAGAGAGGAACCTCATGAAATTCAACAGACACAAGTGCAGGCTCCTGCACCTGTGAAGGATTCACAAACTCCATGCACCAGTACAGGCTAAGGGGAAAGCAGGTCTGCAGAGAAGGACCTGGGTGTCTAGGTGGGTAACAAGTTACCAATGAGCCAGCGATGTGACTTTGTGGCCAAGTGGTATTTGGTTGTGTGATACACAAACCCACAGGTAAGCAACGCTTTCTGCCTTGAGATTCAACTGGGGGAGGGCTGCCTGTGGCATTTAGTATCTCCCAGGATGGGCAGACTCCAGCCGTACTGTTGCAGGGTGCTTTCAAAACTCAGACACTAAGGAAACAAAAATAAATGCCCAGTGAGTCAGAAACTCTCCCACCTGATTTAGCAGCACCGAAATTGCTGTGTTGAGCTCATATGCATCAAAGCAAGATCCTAGGAAAATATACTTTTCTTAGGCGTCTAGCAATGATCCCTCTCTCTGAAATCCAGTCACCCCTCACCCTTAACCAATATCCTTTTTAATCAAAGGGCAATTCCTTTGATTTGATGGATTACTGAAAACATATCACACTGTGGCAATCAGCTGGCCTTGAGGGTGGAGACCACTAGCTACCTGGAGCCCATGTTGTGCTCCTGGTATTTTTTACTGTTGCTGATCCACGTGCACACTGCACGGACCCAGTAAGCAGCTCCAGTTGCGCTCTCACCACAAAGCAGGGAGTGTCCCCATATGACCAAGAATCCTCCATGACTGGCCCCAGTGAGCAGAGGGACACAAGCTTGGTGCAAATGGCACAGCTACCGCCAAACCCCTTCTCACCTACAAGCATCTCTGGGATGCTCATGCCTGCCTGGTGGGTTCTGCCCCACTGCAGGATGCGTGTGGAAGGGAGGGTCAACATAGGCAGGCTGAGAGATGGGACAATCCTGTCCTCTCCTCCTACCCTAGGGCTCTTGGCACCCCAAATCCAAATGTGTATCTCTGTAAAGATCCTTCACTTCCTCACGCCTATTGCAAGCTCCAGAGCCTCTTTGGAACATATCAGAGAGGACTAGGAGTGCTTCTGAGCCACCAGTTGGAGAAGCAGCAGAGACAAACTGCCGTAAGTTGGGAGCCATGAAATGTTCTAGGCACTGGGGTTGCTCTGAATCATCCCACTCCCCCTGGTACCCATTTGCCAGTGGAGATTTTACTGGGTCTGGACGCATCCCTGCTCAGATGTCACCACAGCCCTGGTGCTTCAGTCTCATTCCCTTCACTCCTTCCAAGCTCAATGGCAGGGAGCAGATTTGGGCTCTTCTCTTCCAGGAAAGGTCGGGTTTACCTCAAGGAAGCCCTCCTGAGACCTCGCTGTCTCCACCTGGAGCCATGAATCAAGCACTGCCACTGCAGTGAAGCTGTCACACCAGCCAGAGGCTGAGCTTACTGTGGCTCTGTGCTGCTTCCACAAAGGTCCCTGGGCAGCTGGAGTCACAGCCACTTGGGGTGTCTCCCACTGATAAACAGTATTTCAAAAGCAGGTAGCTGTTTCATCAGACTGTCTTGAAACACCTCTCCCTGCTTGTGCTCACTTCAGGTACTGCGACAAGGGCCAGACATGGTCCAAACAGCACTGTACCCTCTGCACTCAAGGCTGCCTTGATGCTTAGTAGGGAAATCAGCAGAGCAGAGTCACAGGAAGGAGCTTGCTGCTCACAGAGAAGCTAATGATGGGTCCTGGGATGGTATTGCTGATGCCTGTTGTAAACTTCATGTGGTTACAGTTACTTTGCTCTCCATTCCCCAGAATTAAAACCTAGCTCAGGAAGCAGTCATGGCAGCAGCTGGGGCTTCATGCCTTCTCTGAACACACACAACTCCCGCATCTGGCCGAAGCGACACATTCCTCCATACATCATCTCAGGAGTCATTTCAAGAACAAGATGTGGCAGAGAGCTGTTGTGTCTTGGCTAGTAGTGCCCTGCTTTAGTTTCATTTGATCCTTGCCCCATACACTGCAAGAAATAGCTGGCGACTTGTGCTGCAGGGTAATTATTAATTTCCGCTCACCTGATCTGCTTCCCAAAGAGGCCCCAGCCACTACTGTCAATGCACAGGACGCCTCCTGGGAAATGGTGGATTTCCCCTCCTGCTCAAAGAAGAGGTCTCTGGGCTCCCCCTTTTGCAGATAGGAAGGAGTTAATGGGTCCTGTCCCCTCCCCCTCCCCCAGTGGAGCCCAGCTCTTCAAAACCACGTGATGGAAAATCTCTTGGGGAGAGAGTGAGAGGAGCTTTCGTAAGAGCTGGAGGGAGGGGGAGAAGTTTCCAACCGCAGGGAGGAAGGGAGGAAACTGTAGGGCCACAACCCAACGGCCTTGACTGGAAAGGATGGCTATGGCGCTGCAGACATTGTACCCTCGCTGCCCTGCATGGTGCCCAGGTGCTTCTCCCATGGCCTCTTGGTCCCTGCCTCCAGGCGCACGGGGTTGACCCGGCTGCTCCGCATGCAACCATTCCCGTTGTCCCAGAGCACAATACAACTGAGCACAGTTGCTCCTCATGCTGCATCAAAGACCCTGAAAGTACAACACAAGGGCGAAACCACCTGATTTGATTTAGGAAGTTGGTGTCAGAGACGTATGCAAAGTGGGGACAGGAAGACTGAGCAAGCCAGGAATAGCAGGGAAACGTGGCCCTCCTCTCAGCTACATGAGTCACCCAGGCCTGGAACAACTGTGGCGATGTGGGGCTGAGGGCTCTCTTACATCTTTTCACTCTTGGGACCACTACAGGCACAGAACTAATGCCGCAACCTTTGCTCTTAGAAGCAGGATATAAATAGCAAAGACAACAAGATGACAAAAACGCGTAGGGCCCTATTTGGTCTCCTGTGGTGGGAAGGGTATATCCAACTATTCCTGGGGATGCTGCACCTGTGAAAACATAGCAAGGTGTGGGAGGCAGAAGACACTGTTTCCGCAGGGTTGGCCCCTGAGATGACGGCATGGTCACAGGCCATGAAGCACAGAGGTCTCAGCGCAGGCACACTGACTGCTTTGATTTCTCCATACCTCTCTGCAGTGGGGTCAGAGCAGTTGAGCGGGTACCGCAGGTCAATGATAGTTCCATCTTTGTCCTGCAATGAGCCCTGTTGCTGTGTATAGTACTCCACCAGCTCCGACAAGGTGGCAAACTTCTCCCCTCCATACAGGTCATAGAAGTCTCCGGTATTCTGGATACGGATGTGGGTTACCTGGTCACCAACCCTGTGAGATGATGCACAAAGAAAGCAGTATAGTGAGGAGACTGGAAAAGAGACTGAAAGCTTGCATTCCCTGCATTATCTCCTGCCATGGAACCAGGGCAAACCAGCTCAGTGAAAGGAGATGACTGGAAAGGGAAGCTCTTGGGACTACTTTAGGGAAGGTCTGGAAGATGCTAGGAAATCCAGACTTTTTACAGCTTGGAAATAACTCAAGAGGAATAAAAATAGGGTGAAGGAAAGGCCAGGGTACAGGAGGATTCAAACATTTTGAAAACATAGCCCTCAAAAGACAGAAGTTGGAGTCCAAATTACCCACCGAACCGAAAGAGAAAAGTCCCCCTGATTCTTCCGACTGGGTCTGGCTAGAAAGCTTCCATGGACACCCCGTCCCTTCAGCAAGGCTTCAGCTTCCAGCCCACTTAGGTCACGGTGAAACCACCTAGCAGAGGAGATAAAAACAGAATCAAGTGAATGAAAAACGACAGGCATTATTGTGGAGACTTATATAGAGAGGGAGGGCCAGCATCTCTAGAGGGATCCCATGCCCATAGCGGGAACTGCTAGCAGAAATAAAACTATGAACAGGCATTTATGATACGTGCCCCAGCCCATGAAAGGTTTCCACTGAGATACAGCTGTCGGAATGATCCCCTCAGTTCCGTCCAACATCCCTGGTCCCTCTCCCTACCCACACACCACTCAGTCCCTCTTACCTCACCATTGTTGAGAGAGAGGAAAGGGGGCCAACTGGCTACCACCAAAGCAATTCAGCAAACACAGAGGAAAGGTCTCTCTGTGCTGGCGAGAAAAGGGAAGTCGCAGGTCTGTGCTGGAGCGCCCAACGCCAAGCTGTTTCCACGTCTCTTGGGAGCTGGCCATGTATCTCTCCTGGCATCTACTGTTAGTCCATTCAGCCCGTCTCCATCGACCTCACTCTGGTCAAGTCCCTTGTTCTCCTGGCCCTCTGTGCACTGCTGTTGGGCACAGACAAGAGCAACCTAGTGCGCAGCTGGGCAGGCGCAGCTCCAGGAACAGGAAGCGCTCCGAGCCATCGACTCCCCAGCCCCAAGCTGCTTTGCACACACTTCTGCTTCCCATTTTGTGTGTTCCCCCATCCCCCCATCATTTGGGGTATCTGTCTTTTCTCACAGCGGAGCTGACCAGTCAAGTTTTTCTCGAGTCCCAGCCATGCTCACAAAGTTCAGCTCTACAATCCCTTCCTCCCTGAAGGCCCGCAAGAAACATCAGTGTCCTCCATCCTAAAACCAGTCCTTACAGCAGTGCCAAGTAGACCACAGCTGCCTGAGGCCACCCGTGCACCTGCACGGGCTAAGGCACGCAGCACACGCCAGCCTATATTCGCAGTGAAACCTTCTGGTTTTCTAGCACCCATGCAGCCACACAGCTTAAGTTCTCTTGGGCTGCCCTCAGCTCCTGAGCTGACACCTCCATGCTCCAGCTCACCTTTGAGCAAGTCACGCAGCCTCCCTCTGTGCAGGCAAACACCCTGTGTGCTCCACGCAGCCACGGAGGGAGGCTGTGCAAGGCCAGAACGCACCTGCTGACTTTGAGGTAGCCTGCAGATAGCAGGAAAGAAAACTGACAGTTTACACACCATGACTGTCTTTTCTCTTAGCACTGGTTTTAAGGACTGCAGTTATTGTCAAAGACTCATGGGGAGGGCAGTCTGCCTGGTAAAGGAGCTGGACTCTTCCCTGGGACTGTACTGCAGCTGCTCTGCGCGGTAGCGGGGACATGGGGGCAGCAGGAGCAGGGAGAGAGTCGCTGATTTCAAATATAAGCATGCCACCAGACTGGGAAATCCTGCACAGCAGCTGACTGACTGCTAGGAATGGCCAAAACATAACTTGTGGCCAAGGGAGATATTGAAACTAACAGCAAAGGGAAGTACAGGAGAGAATAGGAAGCCAAGCTTTATTGCTAGAAAGACAATGTAGGCACCTACACCAACTTCGTTTTTTAGTGCTTCCAGTTTCACATAGATTATCAGCAGGGACTTTGCATTGCACAAGGAATTTAAGAAGGCCTTCCTGAGGAAAAGTTACTCAAAAATGATCTCCAAATGAGGAAGAACTTCCTTACTGTGAGGGTGACAAAGCACTCGAACAGGCTGCCCAGAGAGGCTGTGGAGTCTCCTTCTCTGGAGATCTTCACCACCCACTTGGATGCCACCCTGTGCCACGTGCTCTGGGTGTCCCTGCTGGAGCAGGGGGGTTGGCCTGGATGATCTCTAGAAGTCCCTTCCAACCTCAACTGTTCTGTGATTCTGTGACATGGTAAATTGTAGGGTTCCTGCAATACAGACCTAAAGCTTAGGAAACTTCAAAGGCACAGAGAATTTGTGGCCCTGGGGAATCTTTACACGTGCACGCACACACACAAAAGGGCTGCACCTAAAACAAATCAGAGCCAGGGTAGTGCTGGCACAAGAAAGCAATGACATTTAGTCATTGAATAGAAATGACAGGAATCAAGCAGATCAAACAAAGCAATGTTGATATTTATTTAAAGACAGTAAATAAACAGGCCAAAGCAGGAGAAGCTCTGGGCAGAAGTCCTAAAAGGGAATATCTGCTATCAAAAAGATACTGCCTTATGTGGGGTTGATATGAAGCCATAGCGGACAAAAATAAAACCAAGGCATCCCTACATCTTAAGAACTGAATGAAGTTTAAAATTTGTCCAAGGAAGAGAACATTACATGGATACAGGGATGTGGGGAAAGAACAAGATGCCAAAGAGCCCCAGTCAGGATAGAAAGGGTAAATTAGAATAAACTCATGTAATTCAGTATTCTCCAGATGAGCAAACCCCTTGGAGCAGTGTAGTCCACAAGGTAGTATCTGTGTGGATACAAATCCCAAATCACATAATTTTACAAAGTGATTTTATACCTCTAATTGCTTCCATGTCAAGAAAGGACTAGGTGTACACAGATGGCCCAGATCAAAGACACCGAGACAGATAATAAAAAACTACCAGTGAAGAGTTCCAGTTGATAAACTGGGCAAATATCACGGAGCTTGGTGTCTTTGATGTTCTTCGCCCTGAAGCCTGTAGCATGCAACAGCAGGCTGTAATTGAGCTGCTAAAATACCTTCTTAATAAAAGTAACGGGGCAAGAGATTTCAGCATCAAAGAGATTATTCTTACGGTGTAGTTTGGCCTTCAGTACCTCATCTTAGAAATCCTTCGTGGAGCACAGGCATCATTTTAGAAAAGAGGAAAAATGAAGTAGCCAGTTAAAAGATTCTCATGTATGGACTGCTGAAAAAAATAAATAAATAAAAAGGCACTGCCAAAGTGGAGAAAGTCCAGTGGCCAGGCACACGAAGATAGACTGAGGGAGCTGGTTTTGTTCAGCCTGGAGAAGGCTGAGGAGGAATTTCCTAGCAGTCTGACATTACCTAAAAGAGTAACAGGAAGGGAGGAGAGGTTAGCAACAGCTAAGCCAGCTCCTTTTCAGGGGGACACAGTGGAGGGACAAGAGGCAACAGGCATAATTTGGAAGGGAAATTCTGATCAGATAAAGGAAAAAACTCCACGCATTCACCTGTGCCCAAGAGTAGTTGGGCAATGGCATAGGTGCTCAGGGAGGCTGGGCAATCTCTTGGAGATGCGCAGGACACATTTGGACAAGGTCCTCATTTAATTGGTGGTTGGTCATTGAACCCATAAGGTATTTAGCATCCTTTGACAAAGATTTCCACTGCTGAACTACAGAAAACCTGAAACTCCTGTTTCTAAGCTGTTTCTTGTCCATTTTTATTAACTGATTTTTTTCCCATAATGAAAGAAAAAGCAATGACTCCAAATAAGGAAGAACTTCTTTGCTGTCAGGGTGACAGAGCCCTCGAACAGGCTGCCCAGAGAGGTTGTGGAGTCTCCTTCTCTGGAGATCTTCAACACCCGCCTGGATGCCACCCTGTGCCACGTGTCCTCGGTGTCCCTGCTTGAGCAGGAGGGTTGCACTGGATGATCTCCAGAGGTCCCAACTTCAACCACTCTGTGAGTCTGTGACTGATTCCTCTGGCTCCCATTCAACCCCTCCAAGCCTCTCATGAATTTGTAGACCTGTAACTTCTCTATCCTTCCTTAGCTCTTCTTCAGGCTAAAGACTCCAACCGTGTTTAGATATTCTCTGTACAGAGCTATTCTACACCTCTAATTCTCTTTGTTGTCCTTCTCTGAGTCTTTTCCATCTCTGCTACATCATTCTGGAGAAAAGGACAAAGCTAGGGCCCAGAACTGCGTGCCGTATTCAAGATGTTGGTGAGAGGTGGGCATATACAAAGACAAAACTCTGATTTCTGCTCATTTGTTCACATTAGCATTAAGTTAAAATTTTCATGCACTCTTGTATTATGAGATCACAATTTTACTTCAGAAAGGTTAAGGTAATTTCAGAGTTTACTGTTTTATATGTGAAGTTTGAATTATTTTATCCGTGAACATTACTTCACATATATCTATTATGAATTCCATCTGCTGTTCTATGGCTTGTTCATTCTCTACCATAATTTCTTGATGCAGTTATTCACAGGTGAATTCCAATCCATTATCCCAAATATCTCTCTACAATCAGCTAATTTTCTCACCCTTCTTTTCCAGGTCATTTGGGAATATACTGAACAGCACATAGCTTGGCTTTTGCTCCAGTGATCTGACTACTGCTGATTACTCTTTGCTGTGAAAACTGGATGTGTATATCCATCTTCTGTTTCTTATTTTTCATGAATTTTTTACCAAAGAAAAAAAACTCCTTCTCTCTCATGGCACGGCTTTAATTCTCTTTAAAAACAAGTCTTTGATGAGGGGGAAGCCTGTCAAATCCAAACAAGCTGCCAGCTGTCCCTTATCCACAAGTATGCCAAGTCCCTCAGAGAACTCTTCACGACAGGATTTCCTTTATAAAGGTAGATACCAACTCCTTCTTTAATGTCATATTCATTCCTTTCCCTATTATAGTATCCAATCTCTTGCTCATTATAGACATCAATTTTATTGGTCTGTGGTTCTTATTTGAACTCTTTAAATAAAAATCAGCACTGCATTTGCCACCCTGCAGCTTCGTGCACCAAGGTAAGGTGGAGGCAGGAGGCTGCAGCTCCACACAGCAGCTCAACTGCAACTTTCTTGCCCGTGTCAAAGATGTCACCTGCTCTGCATGGATGGGCCGATGGACACTCTTCCTGGCAGGCCACAGGCCAATGCTGAACCATGGTGGCTGCCCACGCAGAGCCTAACTGTAGATTAATGCTGCTGCTAATACCGTTGCCTTACGCCATGTCACTGCAGTGCCAACAACAGAGCACCCATTTGGATTGACAGTGAAGAGTGCGTGTCTTCTCAGTTAGGGCCCTAAGACAGTATCAAGAAATAATCAGGCTTAACTTGCTACCTGATCTCTCTGTACAAGGAAAAATATGTTTTGAGATATTTCTGCAGAAGCAGAAAATAGTTGTCTTGGACTGGTCATGACAAACACTTCTCTTTTTCCAAAGCAAGGAGGAGATGGAACATCAACAACAATCTTAGCACACTATGAATGCAGTCCTCCAGCTATCCCATAGCGCCTAGCACAAGGTGTTCTCCCCCCCCAACCCCGATTCCTACTTCCAATATTTTTATTTTTCTCACCAACAACCCTGTTCTGTACTTTTCACTAGCATACACAACACTCACCCACAGGATGGCATCAGGGTCTTGACTGACAGATCCCCACTGATAGGGAACTAACAGCAGAGGGTGGAGGGAGTACCACAGTCCTTAACCAGAGGGTCCAACTGAAAAATAAAAAAAAAATACTGGAAGCATCAACACAATAATATCTGAAATGGACTTGCAAGAGAGATCAAGTAACTTGACAGAGCAAGGGGTGGACTCCTGCCCTAGGAACACAGCTGGATGCTCAAGCCAGCTCTGGAAGGAGCAGCTGCCCGTGCCCAGGTTCTGCTGCAAGTCCTGTGACTCACCTGCACCTGATCCATGCAGGCAAAGCTCTCACCTCGGCCTGCTGCTGGGGTGGGCAGAGGAAAACGTAGCTCCAGGTCAGGCAAAGAGCAGGCTTCAAGCAAAGGGTTTTATTTTCCCCATTTGCAAAACACTTCCTGGGCTGTAGTTAATAAATAATTAGAAGGGTGGGGGAAGGCCAAGCCCAGTCTGGGAGAGGTAGATGGAGACGGAAGAGACGGACTGCTCTTCCTGCCTTTTATGCACTGAGCTCACGCCCTTGTTGGCTACATTCCGCAGCAGCTCCCAGCCGAATGACAGCGAAAGCAAAAGCAAACACAGCTCTCGCACCTGGCACCCGTTCCCTGCTCTGCCTCACCCTTCCCAACCCTGTTAGCACTTACGCGGGCAAGAGGAACACACAAGCTGCACGACCATCGCCAGTCAGAGGTACCCGGTGCCCCCTTACTTAAGTCAGAAACACGAAGCTTCACGCTTGAAAGGCGCTGCTGCCCATCATCTGTTTATCCTTTTGAGTTTGGCAAGCACGGGATGCAGTTTTACATTCTGTTGTTCTAACCCAGGCTGCAGCAAAAAGGGGCAAGACTCTCCTTCACCAGGCCAGTCCCTGCTACACATTTCTGCAGCCTTTGCCATGAGGCCTACCCCAGGTTTGATCGCATGTTTAGCTGGAAAAAAGGAGTGCAGCTGCACAAGCTGGTGTTAGGAGTGTACAGCGGGGAACAAAACACTCTGGCTGGTGGCCAGACTCTTCACTTCTGTCACTTGTCGGAGAGTTCCTTAAGGTAATAATTTGTCTTTACGAACCTGCCACCTAGTACATTTCAAGTATCTCCTTTCTATGTGCTTGTTTAGATACAGGTCAGGACCCAATACCATGGAGAAAAAAACAAAATGGCAGCATTGTTCTAATATTAGCTACTGTGGTTTCACACAAAGGCCTGCATGAGCAAGCATCTTCTTTTCCGGGATTCATGCATATAGTCTTTCTCAAATCATTAGCACATTTTTTGGCTTTTTTTTTAAAACAAACAAACAACAAAAAAAAACAAGCAAACAAACAAACACAGGCTGAACACAGCTGCAATTGCCTCTGCAGGGATACTTCCTTCCAGAGCTCTCCTAGGCCCAGGTTTGTTCAGAAAGCACGAGGGTCGTTTTCCAGGTACTTTTTTATTCACAAGCGGGCACACAAACACGCACAAAGCAGCCGCCTCCTCCCGCAGCAGCGTCTCCCCAGTTCAGGCCAGCCCCGAGGCGCGGGCAGTTGCCGGCTGCAGAGCACGGAGAGCGAAGGCAGCGCCACAGCGGGGGTGCGAGCACCCTCCGCTCTCATGAAGTCGCCACTCCGCCGGTCCCGGCGGCGTGCGGGGGCAGCGCCATCGGGGGCAGGAACATGGCTTTGAGCTTCCCCGACATGCTGGCGATCTCCGGGTCTTGCGACTCATACGATTTGATCAGCCGGGCGAACTTGAGCACCCCTGCAAGGAAGCGCGCGGAGAAGGCGCCTGAGCCGCGGCGCCCCCCGGCGGCAGGAGGGGAGCGGGGGCACGGGGCTGCCCCCGCCCGGCCCCACGGGGCCACCCACCTTCCCCGTCGTTGCTGAAGCCGTAGGTTTTGATCACATCCTGCTGGATCTGAGTGGCCACGGGCAGCAGGAACTGCAGCATCTTGCCCATGTCATTGCAGGCGTTGTCGCGCGCCTCGTCCATGCGCTGCGCGTTTTCCGGAGCGCCGAAGGCCTTGATCACCTCCGCCAGCACCACTGCGGGACATACGCACGGCGCTGCCAGGCCGCCCAGCGGACACCGCGCCCGCCGCGCCGCCCCC